ACACTCAGCAGAAGTGTATTAGAAATATATCAATAAGAAATGTTAGCGATTGGTTAGCTTATAAATGGATAATTACAGAAAGTAGATGTGTATTAGTGGTATCCTTAAGTAATATTAATGATTGATTAGCCCATGTATTAATAATTAAACTAATTAAGTAGAAGTGTATTAATAGTATTTTTAAGAACTATTACTGATTGATTAGCTTATACATTGAGAATTACACTAAGTAGAAGTGTATTAGTAATACCAGTAAGAAAAATTAGTGATTGATTAGCCTATACACTAAAAATTCTACTAAGTAGAAGTGTATTAGCAGTATTCTTAAGAAATATTACTCATTGTTTAGTTTATAAAATGATAACTACACTAAGTAGAAGTGCATTAGTGATATCCTTAAGTAATATTAGTGATTGATTAGACTATTAATTGATACTTAACTACGTGAAAGTGGGTTAGTAGTAATTAGCTTGTAAATTAATAATAACATTAGCTTATGATTTATTTTAAATTATTAATATTAATTTCATTGTTAATTAATACTAAAAGATGAATTACATTGAAAAATATTACAATTATGGGCATAATATTTTCAGAAACTTAAATATTACACATAAATTATACAATAAGAAGAATTATATGTTAGTTTTTTTTAAAATATTAGTTTAATTTTCATTGATTCATAGTAATTTGTTAGCTAGAATTTAATTAATTGTCAATTTGATATTTTATATAATAATTACATACTAGGTAATTTGTTAGGTATGGTATTTGGTATTTTTTTTAAAATACCGAAATACTGATGTCGTATCGAAATATATACTAAATTATAATATATATATATATATATATATATATATATATTATTACATAAATATAGTTGTAAAATTTTACTTCCCTTTATTCTTAGTTATTTTTTTAAAATATTTCCCACCTTTTATTTTCACTATACGTTCCTTTCCCCCCATTTTTTTTGGTTACCCGCTTGCACCCACTAAAATTAGACTTACGTTGGCACACAGGTAAATCAGAAGGGGCAGACATCAGACCTGCAACGGGATCTTCTTTAATCGATCCGGAATAAGGGCAACTTCCTCAAGCAGATACTGTAACACACATCCATATAATCAATTGTTATCATTTACTTCCATCGATCTAAAAGCAACAAAAGAAAGCACCAGTCGTTTCCCCTTTTAGTTTTAGGTTTAGAAATCTAAAATCCACCATTTTCAAATTTTACTTCAACTTAGACAGACCATAGACAAATCTCTCCAGCTCTCTCGCCGTGAGTTGCGCCTGGTTTTTAGATTTTGCCTTCTCTCGCGGTTCGCAGCAGGTACGATCTCGATCTCCCCCCTCTCTCTATCTAGCTATCTATATTCTGCTCCTCTTCTCTGTTTCATCTCTCTCTCTCTCTCTCAATCTTCTGCTCCTTTTCTCTGTGTGTTCATCTCTTGCTCTTTAAATGTTTGGTATATAAGTTATTATTGAAAGAATATGTGCACAAGTGGGTTAGTGTTTTTGATACAATCAAAATTACTGAAAGAAGATAAAGTTGATTGCAATATTGTAGTAAAATTGAGTTCTGATACATTATTTTTAATGTTCTTTTGGTGGTAGATTATCGTTTCTTTGCTCTCAATTTTCTTTTTTTACTTGATTCTGATGAGTCATCTTTATCATGAAAATTGTCCTATTGCTTTCATTCTATTGCTCTAAGAAGAAACAGTATTAATATAATTTTGTATGTTGCAAAATTTATTAGTATTAATATTGGTTTACTGTTTCATTTTTAAGGTTACTAATTTATACAGTACTTACTGCAGGCAATCTGTATTAGTCTTAATTTATTGTAATATGATAGTGTAAAGTCTTATACAGTATCATTTACTCCTATAAAATTAGATCTATTTGAGTTTTCTTTTCTTTCTTCCTCCTGCAATTATAGCTAATATGACAGAGTAATATAGAGCAAGAAACTACTATGTAGCAAATAATAAATTTATTGTTTGTATATGTAGATGTAACATCGTATATGGATGTACAATAGGAACATTCCTAATCGGCGGGGTTTCAGAGATGAATTTGTACAATGTGTTGATGAGTTTATTAATCATGCTATGTCATTTATTCAAAATAAGGGGATGATTAGGTGTCCTTGTGCGAAATGCAAGTGTAGAAAATGGTTGAAACTAGAGGATGCTAAGACTGATCTATATAGTAAGGGCTTTATGGATAATTACTATGTGTGGACTAGTCATGGAGAGACTGAGGGTAGTGATGATAATTACTTGTTTTTTTTCTAACATTACTTGAATTTATTAACTCTTTTTGTTTCATTTGCAGAAGCTGCTCTTAAGAGACCCGCGAAATGTGATGAGGTTTGGAAGAAGACCCACACAAAAAGCAAAATCGGTGTCACGACCCAATCTCTGAACCCAGTCGTGATGGCGCCTCTCGTGAAGACAAGGCTAACCAGACCAAAACGGAACACCTCATTCAAACAGTTATTGATCATAAACAATAGTAACATCTAATATAATATTCATAAATTGCGGAATTTAACGATAATAACAACAGGAACCATCCCGACAGCCCAAACTAGGGTGTTACAAGTTATGAGCTACTACAGAATCTGCTATAGGTCTACAAAGTACGGAATTCGATACAACAGTCTGAAGAAAACATAAATAAAAGAGGATAAGAGAGACAAGGGGCTGCGGACGTCAAAAACTACCTCGCAACTCCAAATCACTGCCTAGCCTGGAAGGAATTAGCGCTCAGGTGTGGACTATGCTATACCTGGATCTGCACACATGGTGCAGGGAGTAATGTGAGTACTCCGACTCAGTGAGTAACAACAATAAATAATGGCTGACAGTATGAAATCACGTAAAGGCACTAAGCAGTTCTATATCAAAATAGTAAAATCATTTAAACATCTGTGGATAAGGAAATCATGTGAAATTCTTTAAACTAGGTAAAACAGATATAATCAGTATAAATCAGCTCCTCAAGCATTTCAGTTCATTTATTCGTTCTTATCCTCAGTTGTCAATTCATATACTTTTCACGATAACCGAATCAAAAAATATATATATATATACCGCTGCGGCGTGCAGCCCGATCCGCATATCGCTGTGGCGTACAGCCCGATCCATAATAATAATAG